AGTGTAATTATTGCATTCAAAACATCTACTCGAAGCAATCTAAACAAACTAAATGTTTTAGGAATGCACTATCTGGTGGATGACAAATGCTACCAGAAGGAAACAGATTCCCATTGATACATGTGCAGTGTAGTTGAAGGTTTCTCTGCACCATGGTTTCAGGCACCATCCACAAAATAGTTTAGTCTGTGCTTTTCCACAGAAAATGTTGATGAAAATTTCAAATTTGTTGATTAAAAACTAGAATGTCACATTTTGTCTGTTCGGTCCAAAATTAAGAATTCAGTGACTAATTACATAAAAATGTGAACAAATTTACCCCGTTTTGATTGGAAAAAACATTTTTTCATTTAGTATACACCTCATGGCATGTGGTTGTGTTTATAATTAGCATTATTGATGTATGTACCTGCTCTCCCATCGTCTCCTCAATTGGTAGGAAGCAATGTCATCACCAGTATCATCATCATTATCTATGTCCATTTGTAAACATGCTGTACTCTGATCTGACATTTGTAATGATGGAGTAGCAAAGTCCTGACACAAAGATGAGAATATTAATTTAAAGCGTTTTTATTCTTCATTGCGATGTCATAATTACATTCTAAAAATTATTATATCACAATCATACGGCTAAATAATAAACAAAATAATAATCATCATTTGTTAATCGTTATTATTAAAATTATTAAAATTCATGACAAAATAGATTGTGAATAGTGTTAATGTTTACCTTTGACATTCGAACCATGAACTTGACAACAAAACTCTTGAAGCCATTCAAACTAGCATCACCAAGATGCACATGGTTACAAAAGACTGAACTTTCACAATCGTTGAGTTGTTCATTAAGGAACCATACGAAGTGTCGTAGCTCAGCCCAAGATGGATCAAGAACACCACAATGTCTACAGTGATCAAAAAAAAAAGTACCAATACTATTAATTTTTTCACAGAATTCAGATGATATAGTTGACACAGCTGAAGAAGTATTTATTAATGAGTTGCTAATTTATGAGGATTGAAGTTATACTTTGTAATTAAGGTTGCACTCCCACTCCTACAAATCTGTGAAGAACCATCTATTATAATAAATTATTTATTATTATTTATTTATTTCAGACCATAAATAAATAACTCACAAAACAATAAGAGAAAGGGAAATAGAGTAATATTAAATCACAGCCATTTAATATATACATCATCAAATGTTGAGATTGTTTGGTTTGTATTGGTCTCAAATATACTCTTACGGTTTTAACACATTTTATGTTTCCAGCTTGTGCTGGAACGTTTGAAATATTTATGGGAATGCATCTTTAACAATGAATGAATATTCATTGTGCTTTATATTTGTAAAACACTACAAGATAGTGTAAATAATAAATCAAGTAATAAAATCAAACAATTAATGGGATGACAGAAAGAATTCCATGCATCTATATGTACAAACAAGCATTGATAATGCATAGTCCCTGTTATGTCGTTTAGTCGATGTAAATGTTCAGTACAAGTGACATGTAGAAATAAAAGATCAATCTTTTTTTAACACTAACACAGATTATAGATTGTGTTACTGTCAGTATACTACCTACGTGGAAACTTTGAACTGAATTGGACTATATCTTACAGAGGAAATAGCATGAAAGAAAAACACAAGCAGTCAGGTATTGTTGTTTAAGTATCTCCAAAAGAAATATGGCTTGCCCCGTAACCTAATATGTAAGGTCATCATACAAAGTTTGATTGAAAATGCCCTATTCAACTTTGAACTGAATCAGGCCATATCACCCTATTCACCTCCAAGAAATAGTTTCGAACATGTTACAGAATGATATTTTACGTTTTTTTTGACAAAATGGCCACCAGTTTGACAAATGTGATCAAATTTTGAATCAAAACATGTTGTTGTGTTACCTTACAGCATACTACCTATGTACAAACTTTCAAGTGAGTCAGGCCATATCTTTCAGAGGAATCAGCACAAAAAAGGTTAAAAACAAAATGGCCGCAGATCAGCCATTTTGGTCCAAATTTTGAAAAAAATATGACGTGCACGTGTTACCCAATATATATGATCATCATACAAAGTTTGATTGAAATCGCCCTATTCAGCCCTGAGAAACAGTTCCGAACTATGATTTAAAGATATTAAACAAAATGGCCGCCAAGTATAGTACCTATGTAAAAACTTTGAACTCAATCAGGCCATATCTCATGAAGGAATCAGTGCGAAAACAGAAAAAAACAAAATGGCCGCCAGTCAGCCATCTTGGACCGAATCTCAAAAAAAAAAATGACGTGCACCTATAACCCAATATGCAGGTTCACCATACAAAGTTTGATTGAAATTACCCTGTTCAACTCCGAGAAACAGTTCCGGACAAATTTAAATATCAGAATTTAGCAAATTTGAGGGACAAAATGGCTGCCAGTCAGCCATATTTAATTGAATCATAACGAAAATTGGCGTGCATATGTAGGTCATCATACATTGTCTGTATACCAAGTTTGAACGAGATCGGTCGAAGGGTGTCCGAGAAATGGCTTCGCACGGACACACGGACGAACGGAACCCAAATTAATAGTCCCCGGGCACTAACAAACTGATTAATATACACCTACCTTAGTAGTACATCAAGACACGTGGCATGGTTGTCTTCAATTTTACCTTCTTCAAAATCATAGAAATCCAGGTTTGCACCTTTAGAATGTCGTTTCAAATACTGATATGCTCTCTGATATGCATTACTAGTAAATTCCAGATTGTCCATCAATGGATCATTGATAGTCATTGCTGCAATGAACATGAAAAATATGGACTTCTAACACGTATATGTAAAACAAATTCATGTGGTCATGGTTTGCATGTCATCATTTGTACATTTGTCATCTGTAATTTTTAAAATAAAATTCTTACAATGTATACGATCACTCATTGAAAAATTAAAGACAGTTCTAAAATAATGGCCTGATTAATATATTTCCATCACTCATTCAAATCTTTAGAATAAGAAAGTAGGAATGGATACCTGGTTCTTCACAGCGTGCCATGCTTGATTCCAATTCTAGAGTAACCCTTGGTGATCTACATGTTCTAGTAGGCAGCAATGTATGGAACTGGTGGCCATGAAAAACCTGGAGCAGTGAAAAAAACAGTTATACTAGATGAATTATGCAAAAAGAGTGAATTAATCAAATGTAAAAATGTACCATCTATTTTTCTCATTAAAAGAAAGTCCTAAATTTGACTTTGATATTCATACCTTTGTTTCTTGACATCCTGTGGGGACAGCAGCCTCAGCAGTATTTACTGCCTGAGAGGGCGCTGTAATTTCAATCACATATAAATCCCATGGGTAACGCCTCCATACACGGCCATGAGTGTCAGTTATACCACCAAGTACCAGTAGATTGAATAACAAATTGTCTACACCATGTTGAACCTATAACATGTTAATAGTACATCACCTCAATTATTTTAAAAGGATGGGGATATCTGTACTCTGAAGAAACCCACATTATCCTCGGGCAGACATCCGGGCATTTTCAAAGTTGAGTTTGTGCTGTTTCCTCAACTTTAGCTATTTTCACCGGCTCCACCGGCGTTCCACAGCAGCTCGCACAAAGCCCATAGAAATACATGCTACAGTGGTGCTCTGGCCTGATGATAGTAAAGGACACAAAGCTTGGATAGGAAATCTAATGCAGTGTTCATGAATCTGAGCCTTAATTCAAAGCCATAAAAAAAATAACATACCCAATCATAGACTGTTCAACACAAAGTGTATAGGTATATTTTGTATAGTCCAAAAACACAGACTGGCAACAATTCAACATCTCAACTAAAACATTTGATACATTTTTGGTTTAGAACAATCGATACTCACAGCAGGGGTGATGTCCAGGTGGAATATCTTTGGATCTGGACGTACAGGTTTAGTGATGTAATCACCTAACACAGACACCATAGCATTCACATCAACTTTCTTCTCGGCCAAAGGAACAGTAACACAAGCATCTTTCATTGGTTTATGAACTTCAATCAACT